GTCGTCTCCTTCACAGAGAGTTTGGTAGAAGGCATGACGGTAAAAGCTTTTGTTTCAACAGCACGGGGCAAGGATCCAGCCAATGGTCGACGACAACTCATCCGTGACACAAGGCAAAGCCCCGAATTCGCAAGACCCTGTCGTTCTTGCTGCAGGGTACCGGTACTGCAGGACCGTCCGACGGTTTTCACTCAGGCTTTAAAAACGGGCACGACTGACTCATAATCCTGTTCTCATAGGGGTTGTTTAAGGGGATGTTGAAGCTTTAAGGGGCTGTTTAAGGGGATGTTGAATATTTAAGGGGTTGTTGTTAAGGGTTGTTTATTTAAGGGATGTTCATTCTTGATAAGGGGTTGTTGTATGGCGTTTCAATGAAGGCTTAAGGGGTTGCTTTAAGGGTGTTGTTTAAGGGGTTGTTTTAAGGGGTTGTTTGTATTTAAGGGGTTGTTTAAGGGGATGTTGAAGCTTTAAGGGGTTGTTTTATGGGTTGTTTAAGGGGTTGTTTAAAAGATGTTGTCAGTCGTGGCATTTTGAAGATTTTTAAATCCTGAGTGAAAAGCGTCGGACGGTCCAGTACCACCGGTAGCTAGTATCTGTGCACTTTTACCCCCGTACTAGCTAGGTACCACTGCTACTAGTAGCTAGTATGACATAGCGGCTAGTACCACTTTACCGGTGCGTCACGAAGAATGAATAAACCAGATGCGCGATACAACAATCGTATTACTGTAGGCACCAATATTTTAGTTATCTTAATTAGTCTCACACCATAATAAAATTAATAGGTCCAGTCAGTTGTTGTTGTGTGGAGTGTGGAGTGGGCATGTTGGGCATGGAATACAGATCCAAAATTGAAATGAGAAGGTGGCTGTACTCGTGAGGGGATGAGCAAACTTGCTCGTAGGCTACATTGAAAAGAATGAGCATTCATTCCAAACCCAGCTTCAGTGCGGTACTAGTACTCGTACATCGTAAAACACGGTCCACCATGAAAAAGGCCACCGGAGGTGTAATAGATATACCGGGCGAGCTGAATTAAAAGATGGGCCGGCATAATAATATTGTTAAAGTTTGGCTGAAGGTAGTGTCATTAGATTTTTCCGTCTGAGAAAGTGGCGTGGTAGCTCACGGGAGTTTAGAGGTGTGCAACGTGAGACGTAAGATTTTCCGTCTGAGAAGTGGCGTGGTAGCTTACGGGAGTTTAGAGGTGTGCAACGTGAGACGTAAGATTTTTCCTCTGAGAAAGAGGCATGGTAGCTTACAAGAGTTTAGGAGGTGTGCAAGTGAGACTTAGGTTTTTCCATCTGAGAAAGTGGTGTGGTAGCTTACGGGAGTTTTAGAGGTGTGCAACTTGAGTCAATAGATTTTTCCATCTGAGAAAGTGGCGTGGTAGCTTACGGGAGTTTAGAGGTGTGCATCGTGAGGAAAATATTAGGATCCGTTGCTACCGTATGATTATTATGAGAATGCGTGAGAAAGAGGGGGTTGAAGTAAATCTCTAACCCGATAACCAACCAACCAAACCCACCACCACCACAATAAACGGGGTCAGAGATCACCGGGGTCTGCCCGGTATATAAATAGAGAAATACCAGAACCTTTCGGCTCTGATACTCGTGAATGATGATGTACTCGAGCTGCTTACCTTATCTGCTTACTCTATCTGCTACCAGTTGGTGGTGCTAGCTTGTCTACATGTAGTATCATCTTCCCATCCTCAGATTGAAGATTCGATTCGATGCTGCTCCCAAACTATCATGCACACTCTGAGTTTTGTAGGTCTAATCACTGCGTTGATCTTATAGCCACTGCATTGAACGAAATTACAAAGTGGTAGTACATGGGGCATGGGGCACCGTTAAGATTGTCAAACTTGCAGGGCACCATCAGCAGCTTCGGTTCTCTGATTACTGGCTGGTTCATTCTAAGGGGAAAGGCATAGATCATGTCAGAATCATGTCAATATGAACCCTCCTAAGCTACAAGACTACATACATGTATGGCAAATATATAGTGTCGTATGATCATGTCAATATGGGTCAAAGAGGTTCTTGAAAACCTCCCCACAAGACATACTAGGTTCCGATCAAAGGCAATGGCTCTGAGCACTGATAGCCAGAGAGACCTGCTGCTTGAACCACAGACAGACCTACTTCCATCCAATTAATTTTCCGCCCTGGGGGAAAGGGTGAAAGGAAAATTGGTGTCAGGCCGCCAACAAGTCCTCGCTCTGATTCAGAAACAACAGAACCTGTTCTTGTAGCAGCCCAGTGGTCCTCCTAGTAGCTGGTCATTACCAACTTTCAGGGTCTTGCTTCATCAGCCATGCATGCAGCATCTTTGTCGACAGTCTCATACCGGTACAGTACGTACTCAGTCCACTACTTGAATACTTGATAGCTCCTCCAACCAGCTACGGTTCTTGTAGCTAGCTTTCCTGAAAAACACCCCACCACAAACTCTTTTGTAGTGTGGTGCCCTTGAATGGAGCAATAGTCTAAAATACAGCCTACCACATAACTCTTTCGGATAGCGTGGTGCATGAATGAAGCAGTAGCTGACCCGCAGAAATTAGAAACAGTGGATAGCACATCCGACGTTCGATTCATCGAAAGACTAATGAGTTTCGCCCCTGCGTAATGAACTCAAGCCCTGCATCTCGTGCTAGCTAGCTAGCGCCACAATGATAAATCGAGCCTCGGATTGAGTATTCCCACAGGCTACTTCACGATCAATTTGAAGCGTCTGTGGCTTTGTTTCTTCCTTTGGAGCGCAATCCACGACAGTGGCGCCATCATGTCAGAATTCTCCCAACCAGCCGACGTGAACGATTAGGACGAGCAGAGCAGCACTTCATTGTTTCTTGGTTTGAACTTCCTTTCTATTAGTTAATGTAACCTTCTACCTGAGACGGCGAGCTTCACGTTCCCATTCAAGAAGACACTGCAAGCAGAGAAGAAAACAGAAAAAAAGCATCAGGGTGAGAACGCCATTCGCTCCCAGCAAGAGAGATAAATCCATAGAAACCCACTCCAAAACGTACCAGAATATCTCCCTCTCTGACGGGTCCCTTGACATTTCGGACAATGGAACGTCCTGTGCTACCGCCACTTTCGGCATCCATGAATTCAACTCGGACTTGGGTCACATTACCGGTGTTTCCGGTTCGTCCCAAGACGCGGCTGACTTTGGCAAGCTTGACTGGGGCATCCTGGAATTGACGGAAAACAAAGGTGTTAGCCACTAATCATCACGCAGCAAAGTGCAACAACAACAACAAGACCAGCCACCGAGGACCCGACTAGCTCGACAGACACAACATACCATGGTGGCTTTGTTATTTTCTTTTGATGTGAACTCACTTGCGTCGCTTGGGGCTCATGGACCGCTTCGTGCTTCTCGCCGCTCCGGCTGCAGGTTACCGCGTTACCGCATTACTTGTTTCAATGAACGGTGGTGGTGGTGGCAAGTCTCACCTGGTCGCGTTTATGCCGTCATAGATTCGATTCAATTCGATTCCTCGGCACGATTCAACTACCGTGTTTCCACGGTGTGAAATTTTGCCCCCGTGGAGTTGCCCAGAACGCTGTCAACAAGCAAACTGAGTTTGCTCGAAAGGCAACGCAGCTACACAGGAGGACAGAGTACCGGTACATCCGTCCTCTACCGGTACTGCCTAAGTATCAGCTAGCAGTGACTGTTCAGCCAAAGAGAAATCAGGTTGCGGGGCAACCTGAGCTCAATGTGGGGCTGCCCGATAGAACGGTGATTTTCTGAGGGATCGAGCCAAAGCTCCTCTTCACACAAGAATAGACCAAGTTGGGCCACTTCCTCGAAGGCTTCTGTAGCCCAATGCACATGTTAGCATACGGGCCGGAAAGTTCACATTCCATAGACAAGCAGTCGAAAGAAGAGATGTAAAAATTATTCCCGTAATAAAGAATCGAATCTTAGTAAGAGCTGAGTTCCTGCAAAAACTTGAGATTCAACCACGCGTTCGGTCCAATGTACGACAAATGCTCTGGCTCCCACATCAATCCATTGCAGAACTGACCCATAAGATCGAAGGATTAGCCAAGTGATTTATTTCACGATACAACCATGACAAAGCTTCGTGGGCATGCCTTTGTGGCCTTGGTCCTCCTCCTACTCGCAGCTTCGTTCCGTTGGTCACCGATGAGGCTACTACATGTATCATCGAGATCTTTGGCACCTGCTGATGCCACCACCGGCAGAGAATTGCTCACCATTCATCGGGGCAACCACGAGCTTCAGGGAAAGATTGTAGTCTTTCTAGACATTGATGGTGTGATTGCACCGTATGGCCTCGACCCAATGGATGATGATGCCGATGATGACGCATCCCACTTTTTCTACGACGACCAAGATAGTAATCTAGCCAAGCTTCAAAGTCATAACTGCTGGCGCGATTTTACCAACGAAACCATGGACGCCTTCTCTAAGATTCTTTCGGCGTTCCCTCACTCAGAGCTACGCGTCATTCTCTCCTCGTATTGGCGTATTCATAACGTTTGTCGTGGGGCCATCTTGCAAAAATTTCGTGACTATGGCAGCCTCCACGGAGGTCCATTACGACAATTTGACTACTTTGATGACCGTACCGGTGACGAAATGGAAAGCCGACAAGCTGAAATCGCGCAGTGGCTGCTCAAGTTCAATCCAGATAATGATGTCCTTGCTGCCTGGGTTGTGCTCGACGACTCAGAGTGCCTTCGTGGGAGAGAAAACAAGCAATATCGTGACATGTTCGTGGGTCGTGTTGTCAAGCCCTTTGAAGATGTTGGCCTCACAGACAAGGATGCGGACAAAGCGATTCAAATATTGAACGAGCAGCTTGGAGCATCCTAATTTTGCGTTTAAATACTTCCTCTTTGTTACAACCAATGAGGCCGCTAACTCAGTAGCTACAAGTTAAGGTCGTTAGGCTTGTGTGCTGCTCGTTATTGATTGATTGCACAGGTGCCAATGTGCTGACAACTACAGCGGTCATAGCTCAGACAGAACTAGCACTGTCGCTGTTTGATGGCTGCGGGTTGCACAGCGTCACATCCCAAACCGAGAAGTCGACTCCGTCCAAGCGATTGGGAGGCGTTGCCTTGAGTCCAGGAGTCTTGTTTCTGGGGTGGACTTTCTCGGTCGCCTCGGTCTCCACACTTTTCTCGAGTGCGTCAGATAGCCACTTATTCGGCTCGTACTCCATCAGCAGCCCGAACAAAACATTGAAGTAGACCAGGCTATCGTTCAGAACCAAGTCGCCACGGGCTCTCGCCAAAAGCGAAACGAATTCCCTTCGTGTTGTCGTGTCACTTCTCACTTTCTGGCGACCATACTGGTTCAAACGCATAAAGTAAAGCATCTGGTCAGCCTTGTGCTCGTCGCGGGTGCACTCCCATCGGGCAGTATAGTTCCGTGGTCTCATCTCTTTGACGTGTTTGGAAAACCCCGTGTAGTCTCTCCTAGTCTCAATGTTGGAAACAATCAACTGCTCTAACGAAGTGTTGCATTTCATGAGCTCGAAGAGATCATCCACAAGCTGTTGTTCTTCTTTGTCGCCGGTGGGAGACTTTTGAAATTCCAGAAATCGCAGAGTGTTGTCGTTTTCCAGAGCACGACTCACGGCACCAACATCCAGGTTGTGACTGCTTGGCAATCCCAAGACATAAAGTCTTTCCAAGTAGCCCTGGCCAAAAACGTTCGACAAGCATTCCGTGATATCCACAGGTCCACCTTGTCTGGGTTCGCGCTCCCATAGTTCTCCAATCCCGAGCTGAGTGGGCCTCTTTGCGAAGGGCAGAATGCTGAGGGTTTCAACCATCAGGTTCGGGAACATGGTGCATCTGTCCAGCTTGAGAGAAACAAACTCCGGCAATTGGCGACATAGGTCCCAGCTTCCACCGGCGTTCACAAAACTGAGGATGATCTGCAGTGGCGAAGAAACAGCAGCGAGAAATGGTCCCAAGACGGCAACGTTCGGTACACGCATCTTTGTCAGTTTTATCTTCTGCATCGTCTGGGTTTCCGCTCTTGCCAGGCCCCTGACAATGGCAGTAAGATGAGAATTGCAGACATCCAGTTCCAGGGTTGCGATTGACTTGTTTGTGGCAAAGAGCTCCTCCAAAAGCACCATCGTTTCGTCGTTCGAATCTGGATTCTTTATAACAAGGCAAAGACTTTGCACTGTGGAAGCTGGTCTGAGGCACTTGAGGGTGTAGTTGAGCCCATCCGGGGTCCAATGCGTGGGGTGGCAGAGGAGCTGCCGGACGGAATCTTTGCTGGAATTTGGGAGGCTAATGATGCGCCCAAGGACTTGAGCCCTGGACAGGTCCACCAGAACTTGATCCCTTTGAGAGACACCAACTATTCTGAACCGAGAATTCTCTTCCGATTGGCTGGTACCTGTCCTGATGAGCATGCCAACGGCGTTGTTCAGAATCACAGCATCATACCCAACAGAGAAGAGTCTCGCGACAAATGGCAGGGTCCATCGATCCTCGGGTACCAATGCTTTAATGGCCTCCCAAGAAGCACGGCGGGTTCCATTGTCGATCCTCGCTCCTTCGATGATTCTGTTTTCGTACGGCTTAAAACCACTGTTGAAGGTGATACAGCGGGCTTCTGGGTGCTTGCTGGCTAGGAAAGCGAGCACATTATCATCTGCACCAGACCTTGGCTTGCAGGCAGCTTCCAAAAGAAAATATTTCAATGTCTTGTTGTCACGATCCGGGTCGCCAGGGCGAAACATACTTCGTTCCTCTTCTTTCAGGGGTTCCCATAGTGCCTTCTTGTGCATCTCAAAGACAGCCTCGATTGCGTCAAGGGGAAATCCTGATAAGACAAAGTACCACACTAGCTAGGAAGAAAGTAATGATGATGTGAGAAACAAACACTCTTAATGACAAACAAACAAAAAGCAAGCCAAAAAAACTACGGTGCTAGCAGTACTCACGAGGATACAAATCGGTTCCGTAGTAATTACTGAACTTGACCCGGGCGAGCCTTGGCTCTTTCTTCAAGAGCTCGAACGCTTCTTCTGCCATTTGTCGTTCCGTTTTTCCTAATGCATGTAACGCTGCCAGTCGACGTTCTTCCTTTTCCTGGTTCTCCTGGAAAACACGGCCCCAATACATGCCACAACCACGAAACGTGGTGGGTAGGTCGATCCTCTTCCCATAGGAAAGAAGATACGTCAAGTTCTCCATCATGATTGTTCTGTTGTGATAGTATTGCAGAGGCGCCTGGATATTATTGATCTTGGTTGCGGTGGTTGCTTACAAGAGCAGAGGACCTGGGAGGGAAAAGGGACACAGAATCTGATGATGTTGTTGTTGTTCCGTAGGGTGCAGCGATGCCAGTCGTGTCTCTTTTGTGGCAAAATAAAGATATTTAATTTTGAGGTTCTGAAGGAACGGGTAGACACCGGTACGTGTAATCTGGTAGCTAGTTAAGCTTTTCTTGTTTAGATTTCTCCATTCGGCAATTCTGAAGATCCAAGACGCTTCCACACTTCTTGAAAAAGGCGGACCATGGCGGCTTTTGGCAGACCTGACCCTGTTGGCTCAGGACGAGCATTGTCAGTACGACCTCCCCTGCCCAGGTTCCCGAACAATGTAGAGCTTGTACAGAATGAAGAACACACAAAGGTGGGTCCCAACTCATGATACCGGGGAACCGGGGTTGCGATTCTCTTGATATTTGCGTATGGAGGATACGTTGACACCATGAGAAGCTTCGATTCTTCACTTCGATTGCTATGCTGGTGTATTGGGCTACTTTGGGGATCCTTTCAAGCGGCTCCTTTTGTTGTCACTCACAACACTACTTGCTATTCATTACTTTGATATCTAGCTCCTCGCAGCACTGCTACCTGCGCTGAACAAGTACCAATGCTTGGACGTGGGCGTGAAAAAGACTCGTCGTTCTCCGTGGGTCCGGACATTTGTGGATCTCTATCATCCAGCTGGAGCCTGGGGAAAGTTCTCCAATGTGCCCGACATTACGTCGAAACAAAAATATAGATTCAAAAGCTACCAACTCCCCAAGATATTCGATTCACTAGAAAAGTATTTACGAGGTGCGACACGAGAGAGTGCCGTTCATTTGGAACTATATGATGCCCTCAATGAATACTATTCCAGAGATCAGTATTTTAAGGACTTTTTGGCGGCGTGTGAGCCCATTGCCGCCACCCAAGCCAACAAACCGATGCAAGAACGATCCGCCTTTCCTACGGATGTTATCACGGACAAGAATGACACGGGCGTGGCACGGCTTGTGGTGGAAACAGAAACCACTGCAAATGATGCTTCCAGTTCGGATTCTAGCTCTCAGTCGTCGCAGCCATCGGATAATGATGATGAGGAGGAGGATCAGAAAAGGCCCGCAGCAACTTCAACCCCACCCTCTCAGGTTGCTTCTCTTGCGGGTCGTTGGTCCACTCCAAGAAGCCAACTTGGTTTGCAATTAGCCACTCGAGGCTGGAGACCCGCAGCAACTTCCCCACCTGTGGAAACAGAGGCCCACGAAAATGATGCTGCCAGTTCGGACTCTAGCTCTCAGTCGTCGCAGCCATCGGATGATGAGGAGGAGGATCAGAAAAGGCCCGCAGCAACTTCAACCCCACCCTCTAAAGTTGCTTCTGTTGTGGGTCGTTGGTCCACTCCAAGAAGCCAACTTGGTTTGCAATTAGCCACTCGAGGCAAAGGGCCCGCCTATTATAATAGAGTCACACCTGGGAGCAGCAAGCGAGGGCATGATGAGGAAAGCCATGGGCAGGATACCCCGGCCCGAAACACCCGTCGTCGCGTCAAGGAACGAATGCACCCAGACGGCAGTGAAACTGTGTCAACCACCAATAATGAATCTGACAAGATGGTTGACGAGCCAGAATGTGTCCATGCAACGAAAGGATGTGGTGCCGCAAAGAAGACGGACACGGCAACAGAGGATGATGATGAAAACGGGCCAGAAGTGGACCAAGAGGAACAAACGCTGCCAGCTAGTGGCAAGCGCTCTGCTTCCTCGATGGCCGAATTGCCGAGCCTTACCGACAAGAATGATGGCGACAAACAGGAGCCCCCGAGTGCTGACAGCGCCAAGCTCAAGGAACCAAGGGACCCGGAAGGTAGGGACACTGTTTCAACCAACAATAATAATGAATCTGACAACATGGTTGAGGATCCAGAAGTTGTCCATGCAAAAAAACGTGGCGCCGCAAAAAAGACGACCACGGATGATGATGAAAACGAGGCAGAAGTGGACCGAGAGGCGCAAACGCCGCCAGCTAGCAGTGGTAAGCGCTCTGCTTCCTCCTCCATGGCCGAATTACTGAGCCTTACCAACAAGAATGATGGCGACAAAAAGGAGCCCCCGAGTGCTGGCGGCACCAAGCTTGAGGAGGAGGAGGAAAAGGAAACGGCGGAAGCTCCCACTCAAGATGCGTCGTCTCTTGTCCGGGAAACTACAAAGCAACAAATTGAGAAACGGCGAGAGGAGCTTTCCAAGATGTTTCAGAGACGCAAGAATGATGGAAAAGGTGACAATGATCCCCTCTGCAAGAAGATTCAAGAGAAGATTGATGCAGAGGATGAGAAGCTACTGGAACTCATTCTTATGGAGTAGTAGACATCCTGCTGCTCGGGGTTGCTGCTTCTTTCAAATTTCCCAAAGCAACGCAACCTACATACTGAAACTCATCCTGATACATGACGTTCTTTTGCTTCCTTTATTGATGCAAGCAACTATTGCATTCTAGCTAAGATATAAGATAGAAACTGAGAATTTCTACCGCCAGCACGGGGTCCAACGTAGGAGTCGTCCTGTTCACGTCTTCGGCTCCATCACCACAAAACGCTGCTTTGTTAGTGTCAGGCCAAGATAGGCCAAGCACCAACAAACTATCGTGATTATCACCTCAGCTCGCACGACACCTTCAATGCTGGAATCTTTCAAACCAATCATTGCCAACGCTTCCTCCCCGGTTCGAGCCACAGGTCCGTTGCTGGCATCTGAAGCTTCGAAGTGGAGTCCTTGAAACTCGTTCAGACAAAAGGATTCAAATCCCCAGCGAATTAAGGAAATCTTGGAAACCCACCGAAGCACCCAAGGTGTGTTCTCAGTGGAGATGTTCCGGCCATCAAAGATTACGAAAAGGATCAAGATTGCCGGAAAGATTGCCAAGGCAACATCAGAGCTGGGGCTGACGGCGCCCACAGCCATTCCAGAGGCCTCAGATGCCAGGGAATGCAAGGTGAGTAATCCAATGAACGTCCAAAACCGTCCTGGGTTCATTCCAGTTGCAAAGTATAGAATTGCACCCATAACTCCGTTGTAGAAAAACACAAGAGGAAATTCAGAGATGGCCTTTGCAACAAAGTAGGGCAGAGCTCGGTATTGCTTGATAGCGATCTCAGCGCTTGCGATAGTCTTCTCTTTTGGAAAGGCGCGGAGTGTAGTGGCAATGGCCATGTTTGTCCCTCCAATAGCTGTCAGGGACAGCAGTCCAAAGCGATCCAAGATGGATGCTTGATTGTCGCCCAGAGTGTAGATGCCACCGTAGATTGACGCCACAACCACTTGTTGCACTGTTTTGATAAAGATGACATCCTTTCCACGAACCGTCTCCGCCGAGGCTCGGTGCAGCAGCAAACAAAACTGAGTCCACAGACTGGTCCGAGGGCCAATCGTACCACAATCCTTAGTGCTGCAGTTCGAAGTGGACATGAAGTCCGTGTGATCAATGCCAAGGTCCAGGTCTTCTGCTTGGTATACAGCCGCCTCTCCTAAGTTTTTCAACCGCTGTTTGGCATCCTCAGCAGATTCCCCTTGACGTGGCAGGGGCGATATGCATTCCAAAATATGCTCCGCTGTCCCACTATCCTCGTTTGCGGTGTATCCTTGTGCTTCCATGTATGCTTTGGCCTTGTTCGTCCTGCCAAAGTACATTTGCTTTCCTTCACTGATCAACAGCAGGTCATCAAACTGCCCAAAGATTGCTGAGCTGGGCTGGTGAATGACACAGATAACCGTCTTGCCTTGGTCTGCCAGTTGTCGCAGCTTCTCAATGACAACGGCAGCTGCAGCACTGTCCAGACTGCTGGTGGGTTCATCGCAGCAAACTAGACCAGGAGACGAGATCATCTCGACCGCAATGGACAAGCGCTTGCGCTCTCCGGACGAAATTCCTCGAACCTTGGCGTCTCCCACTATGGTGTCGGCAGCAACCAACAGACCAAGCTGGCATAGAAGATCTTGCACGAGAGCATCTCTGGACGCCTTGCCGAGCAAATCACCAAAATGAAGTGCTACACGGAAATCCACTGTTTCTCGAACGGTCATGCGAGGGAAGAAGTTGACTTCTTGCTCCACAAATGCCGCTGGAAGGATACTGCTGGGAGGCTGCAATGTCAAATTCAAGAAGCGGTCTCCTCTCAAGCTCAACTTCTTGTCAGCTTTGATACGTCCTGCCAAGGCATGGAGAAAGACCGACTAACGGACAGCATCACTTTGTGAGGTGCGTGTTGACAACAACTTGCTAGAGCTTGCTGTGACATGTCTTGCAACTCTCTTACCTTTCCAGCACCTGTTGGCAAGTTACGTAGCAGAAAAGCGAGATGGAACAATTTGTGTTATTGTGGTTGTACTTGAGCTTCTGTGGTAGGTAACAACCCCAACACAAATGACACAACTAAACTTCCTACATACATATTTTGCGTACCTGATGGCCCCATTACAGCCAGCATGCGTCCCGGCCTGGCCCTGCCACGAAGGCTCCCATCCAAAAGGAGGCGTGTCGCCGGTTGTTCGCTCCCATCCTTGTTCTTTTTTGCCTTTTGGGTCAGGGTAAGTTTCACTCCATCAAATGCAAGGTCCGCGCTCTCCATGGTCCTTCTGGCACTGTCAAACCCATCATCGATAACATCAGTGCCTGAAAGAAGCAGAAGAACGATGAATGGGATCTCATGTCAGTGGAGTATGGCTTCGCACTCGCTACTGGCATAGACAAACTGGTCTCCTCTCACCTTTCGTACTATCAAATTGGACGTTCTTTTGAAGCCTTTTGGGTTTAACAGTGCTGGCGGAAACGCCAATGGCAATCAGTGCCGTGGCAATGAAACCGAGTGCGACCTTCAAGTTGACTGCCTCGTTTTCTTCAAATGTCCGATGATTGGTCTTGTGATCATTGAATTCTGGCGCTCGAAACTCCAACTCTACAAAGCATTGTTCCATCGGGTCACTCACCTCCTCCAGCGTTGTATTCCTATCTGGTGCCATCGGAACCAAATGCAAATTCTTCCATCGTGGCCATGCCGTCGTGGTTGGGACGAACCAACAGAGAGCGGCAGTGAGGAGATACCTGCGGGTCATTGCAACCATTTCTTCGTTTTTTCTCCTTCAACAAATGAGAATGCTCTTGTTTTGCGATGACCTGAATTTGTGGCAGCAGGAACCCAGATGAGAGAGGTTTCAGCAATCCAACAAAAGCTAGCTTGATGGGTGATGAGGAACACTGGAGCTCATCACCGGAGAAGCAGCTTTTTGCTCCTGCGTTGTGGAGCCGCTTGTGGTTGGTTTTCTTCAAATTGTGAGGGCAATTCCAGAGTGTTGACACAAGTCTGAGGAAGCCGGAAGGAGCATCGTACCTATCAAATGGTTTGTCCAAAGAAGCCTAACTCGTGTTCTTCGGACATGGCAGATCCCCTTCATTGGTCATAGTTCTCTTTGTTATGGTGTTATGGTACCGTAGTCGATACGTGACGCCACTGAAGCAGTTGCTTCACAGCTTCACTGCTTTAATCTTTTGGATCCACAATCCCACCAGCATCCGACCTCAGACCCTTCAACCTCCCAGCCAACCACAGGAGGATACTGTGAGAGGATGCACTTGATAACATCGACCACTGCTGGCAGTCAAAGAGCCATCAGTGCTTGCCAACCATGTCGTCGTCAGGTTCAACGTGCGCTACAACGGCGGAAGAAAACGGGAAGCCAAGGTCGACGAGAAGAGCGACGATGGTTGCAAGTTCCACCAAACAACAGGGACTTCTTGAGCCGTGAAATTGGAGCGAATTGCCTACTACGTCAATTTTGGACCACGACTACTAATACTGGCAATGCATCGAGTGGCGACTCTTCCCCGACTCCTAATAATGAGGCACTGAGTAATCATCCTGTTGGCAATACCAATCATCCTCAACTCCAGCAAAGAATTATGGAGATTTGTGATGACACGGTGATACCCTACGGCGAGTTATCGAACGCACTGTGGGAGGAAAGCTTGCAAATCCTGGAGCAAATGGCTCGACACCACTCTGCTTCTGGACTGGAATGCAGTTGCATGCTCATGGAGCGATTGGTGATTGAACAAGATACTCGAAAGTCGTCCTCTACTACCGGTAGCCAAGACAACAGTTTTTCGTTTTCCTTGACCACGGAGCATCTCAATCAAGTGATCCATTGCTGGCTATTCTGCTGGAAACAAGGGCGCGCCAACGTGACACCAGAACAAATGCTCTCCTTGATGGACGACTGGTTGTATCGGCTGGAATCCGATCTTTATCCCAATGTCCATACCTACAATGCCATCCTAAAAGGGGCGTTTACATTCCTTCCGGGCAACAACAACAACAAAAACAACAGCAACTTGGGGACTACTGCCCTGACATTTGCCGAAAACATTTTTCAGCGAATGAGGGAACAAGCCGACAATCATCAGCATCCCAATGTTCGTCCCAATACGGAAACGTACGATACCATGATACAGGCATTGACCCTCCAGTTTCAGAACATACTTCGGGCGGAAAACTATCTGAACCAAATGTTCCTAGAAGTCGCCTCGCGAGGGTCCACTGAAATTGCACCACATGTGGAGACTTTCAAGTACATCTTGACTGCCTATTCCAAGTTGCCTCGGGAAGATCACACGGTTCCCGAACGAGCCCATACCATGCTACGGCACATGCAACATCTAGACTCGTTACGAACACTTCCCAATGTCAAACCCGACGTAGCCACCTACAATATCGTGCTGGCGTGCTGGGCTAGGTCCAATACCCATCCCCAGGCAGCAGGACGAGCCTTGGAACTCTATGAAGAAATGAAAGCAGACCCGAACTGTCAACCGACCGCGTATGCCCTCTCCAATGTCTTGTTGGCATTGTCCAAGGCAGGAGATGCCGAGACTGCACAAGCACTGTTGGATGAACGGCTGCCAGACTCCTCGGATAAAAAGAGCAACCCTCACAACCAACTACAGCCGACTCGAGACTGGTTTCGACATGTACTTCGGGCTTGGGGCAAACAGGCCCGAAATGGTCATCCCACGGCATTGGCGCAAATGGAAAAGCTCGTGCAACGAATGAAAGAGCTCTCCAACGTTCTCCCGAGCGCCAAAATGACAACCACTGGCTACAATGAACTATTGGCATGTCTGGCAAAGTCTTCGGAGGTGTTGTCCAAGGAAGAAATTGTCAATAGATCACAAGAGATTATAGAGGAAATGGAAGATTTGACGGCAGCGGGGGAGGTCCTAGTCAAGCCAGATGCTCACACGTACACCACTCTGATTCTCGTACTAGCAAAGCATGGTCAGGATCCATATGAAGCGGAGGCGGCTCTGGAACGTATGTATCAGTACCATCTTGAGGATGGCAAGAGCCAAAGTACGCAACCAGGTATCCATTCGTTTAATGTATGTCTCAAAGCATGGGTCGACTCCCAGGCCGAAAACGCCTTCGAACGAGCAGATGGCATACTGCGGCGCATGTGGAGGCTGCATGAGACTGGAATTCTTCACGATGTCAAGCCAGACGTCGTCTCGTATTCCACAGTTTTGAAATGCCACCTGAAGAGTAATTCACCCGACAGGGGGGAGCGTTGCCAAGCGCTGTTGGAGGAAATGGAAGCCCGATCCATTCCGACAAGCGAAGGGTGTTATCAAATGCCTATTTCAGCCTGGGCCCAGCTTGGTAATGGCGACAAGGCGGAAAGCTGTCTCCAGCACTTTGTTGCTCAGTACAAGGCTGGAAGAATCAAGTTCAAACCAAACAACAGAGCCTTTGATGAAGTCATAAGAGCCTGGTCGAAATCGGGAGCGAAAAATGCACCAGCTCGCGTCGAAGATCTGATAAAGCAAATTGAAGAGCACCATAAAGCTGGTATGCTGGAGGAACCGCCTAGTCGATTCTCGTACTTGGGACTGCTTTATAGCTGGGCTTCATCTGGGGAACCGTGGGCAGGCGAAAATGCAGAGAAAGCGTTGCGCTATATGGAATCAAAATCGAGCGACGGGAACAAGTCTCTTGCCCTCCGTTCAAGCGACTACAATGGTAAGTCTCGCCAGTCTCAGTCTTTAGTAGAATATGACAGGCATTCTGACTCCCCTGCATGTAGCTGTTTTGCAGCTGTACGCCAAAGAAGGACGTGGAATGAAAGCTGAGGAGCTCTTGAATCACATGTTGGATGTATTCTACGGTCAGGAGTCACTTGATGTAGAGCCCACGACCACCTCCTTCAATGCGTAAGTTTTGTCCTACATGCACGAGCTGTTCCTCATAAGCACCGAGTTGTTGCTCATGTTTTGCGTTCGTGCGCAGGGTTCTATTGGCTTGGGCCAACACCAAGGACGTGAATGCCTCGAAGAGAGTGGAGGGTATATTGAAACAAATGGACGAGCTGTGCAAATCAAGCGTATTGCGGGTAGCGCCTGACGCGAAGAGTCTCGGCGTGGTGTTGACGTGCTTGACGGACCAAGACCAAAGAGTCAACCCGCGTGATGCGGAAACGCTACTTCAGCGACATGCAGGCGTTGCCAGCCAATCAAACTGGCACACGGGTAGGCAGTCGTTCATTCACGTACATCAGATACTCTGATCTGGTACACTGCCTCTAACACACCGTTCCTGATTGTCCTTGTAGTTATACATTCCCATGCAGTTCTGGGCAATGCAAGCCAAGCCAAACGTTTGATGCAGTCCATGTACAAAGAATCTGAAGTCAAAGGGAAGAGATCACTCCGACCGAACACAACAACCTACAATCTTGTCTTGCGAGCCATCGGTAATTCAGAAGACGAGGACAAAGGGAAAAGAGGGGAAGCATTGCTGATGGAATTGGATAATCAAGTTGAAAAGGAGTACAAACCGAACACAGTAAGCCCTGGAGCAAGGTTGTTTGGAATTGCATCTTGTTTCTCATTCTGCACCTCCACTTTCCCCTCCAGGTGTCCTTCCTTCTTACCATGGCATGCTACAAAAAGTCGAACCATCCACAAGCTATCCAATGCGTGGAAGCTCTGCGAAATGAAGTACAGCAACGTGCTGCTGCCGGAGAGGAAGGGATTGAGTATAGCAGTTCCATCTATCATGAAATGATGTCAACCTATGCGTCACACGGTGCACCAGAGAAGGCAGAAGAAATGTTGGACGAACTTTGCCAAACTGTTTTGGATGGCGCTACTGACAATAACCAAAGCAACCTGGAGGTCAACAGTAGGTCTATGAACATGGTCTTATCCGCGTGGGCAAGGGCCAACAATCCAGAACGGGCCGAAGCTATTTTGAAGTGTATGATTGACTACCGTGATCGCGGTCTGTCTGGAATGGCTCCCATCGCCATGAACTACATGCGTGTGATTGAGTGTTGGAATCGATCCAGTAGCAGCAACCCATTGGCAGGGGAACGGGCTGACGATCTTTTGAAGCTAATGGAGCACGATGCGCAACGAAAGTCCAAGACTCACATGTTCCTGGCCAATAAAGGATTGTACTTGGCGGTCATGAAACGATTGGCCCAGTTTGGATCCGGAGAGCGTGCCGAGGAGTTGCTTCGCCGTGTACAAAGCCTCTTTGAGGACGAGAAATCGAACACGGCCATTGATCAATTCCTGTACCGTGAAGCAATTTTGGCATGGAAGAATTCCACGTCTCCAAATGCCGCAGCACGTAGCGAGGTGTTGGAACAGGAGCTGTTGCAACGTTTCTTCTCGTCACAGCGAAGCAGCAATTGAGCCTGACGAGTGAGTAGCTAGATTGGTTGGATGTTGCGTTGTTATACAATCGCTAGGGGACGACTACGCCTGATAATTAGGTTGTCAATAGGTAACCCGATGGAGTCACTTTTGCGTTTGTCTTCTCCTCGTGCCTGGAGCCAGGCATGTGTGAATTCAAGCCACTACAAAGTGTACACGTGTACTTGTAGAATACAGTCCCGGGCTGTGGCCTTCCAGCAGATTGGCGTGATTTCTCCTTCAATTGGAATGACGAAACATTGAAACCCACTGTTTCCGGGCTCCTGTGTAGACCTACCTTGATGGTACGTTTTCTCATGACGACGATTGATCATCTTCAAATGTCACTTGCATGGACCGAATTTCCGAAGTCAAAAACCACGTGCGCAGGCTTTCGTCTGGAATGTCCATGACAGCATTGCACATGCCAAAGAGCCAGGAGGAATGTCCCACAATGGCGATTTCTGTTTGTGGCAGCGTCCGGACATGGTCTACCAAAAATTCGTAGGCACGTTGCGTGGTTTCGAGGGGCGTTTCCAATCGATCGGGCATGAATAGGGTATCCTCATTATCGACACAAAGTGAAAAATCAATATCGGGGTACATTTTTTGAATTTCCGCAATGGTCCGTCGTTGATTGCAGACGAGTAATCCCAAGTCTTCTCGACACTGCTCGTGTGCTACCCATGGCACTTTGTTGTTGTTGTTGTTGTTGTGCCGATGCGCACTCCAGGAAAGTTCTGCCGATTGAATGGCTCGTAGGAGTGGTGAGACAATCACGAGTTCGGGGTTTAACAGCGAAGCATCATCCTTGCATTTCAAGCACTGTTGCCGACCCAGTTCGGTCAAGGGCGAATCCATCACGTCTAGTCGGAGCAATGGATTTTGGGCGGGATCTGTGCTTTCTAGATCCACTGGAGTCCCCGTGAGCTCTCTCCAAAGGGCACAAATGGTATTGTGGAAGCCTTGACCGTGGCGTTGGAAATGGAGAATCTTGGTAGTTGTGCTCGTTTTGTTCGTCGAGTCTTTCTTCTTCAAGAGTTGGTCGGGTCTTTCAATGGGTTCTCCAATGATCCGGACAGGACGGTCAACACCAATAACACCTTCGTCCTGTAGTTTCTGACGAACACTGATGGTCAGTTCTTCGGCTGTTTGAATGTTCATGGCAGACCACTTTCCCGATGCTTGTTGCTTGGCAAACAAGTTGGACGCTTTCGTGGACATGCTCTTGGTGGCACTGTTGCTGAGCGACACGGCAGAATCAGGCAGTAACAAGGACACCATGGGCAAGAAGAGTCGACGGTTCATCGTGGGGAAGATTGAAACCCAGAGCATGCGGCAAGTTAGAGCAGTCACTAAAAAATAGGTCGCACCCAATATTGGTCGATTGGTTTTTAGCTGGAACCCAAATCGAAACCTATTCAGTCACTAACTCATTTCGGTCGAGGTTTAGGTTGCGACCGAAATCGACCGGTCGTTCCACTGGTCGATTC